TACCTAAATGATACCTATTATCATTCAAGTTTAATAAAAGGAAATGAACAAGCACTATCTAAATATTATTAACAAAACTATCATTTGTTTTTTTTGGATTTCTGGAATTATGGATATGCAATCTCACTTCTATCTCTTACTTTTTCCCTGTGAAATCAAATACTAAACATCCTTGCCCTAAACAAGGCTAGTTCTGCAATCTCTCTGTTCTTGCAATCTGTTGTGTAACCAATCACTGGAGTTAAATTCCTGAATGATATCATGAGCCCAGCCTATGAAACTTTTGTTATTTTTTTCCTTCAGTGAACTTCAGTTGCTCCCATAAATCTGATGACAGAGAACAGAACGTCTTTTAGTTTCCCACAGCACATCTTCATATAATTCAGTAATCGTCAGTCATTAAGGTAAGGGACTCTTACTTTTATTATAATAGAACTGTTGATTTTCCAATTAACAATCCTGATTCCAGTAACAGTCTATACCTTTGTTGAACATTATAATTTGATTAGAATTCAAGTGTAAGATATCTTCTGTGTTTATTTTTGTTGCATAAAAGAAGTAAACATATCAAGCATTCTGTATGCATGTTAGAGCCAAAGAGAAGGAAAGAGGAGTGAGAGAAAGAAAATGAGAAAAGAAGTGGGGAAGAAAGAAAGAAGCCTAGTAGAGATATTAAATCTAATATTTCAGTTCTTTCTGCAAAAAATATAAAAAATAAATCTAGACTATAGCATTACAATGCAGTACTGCAGGCTACTTCTGCTGCCTGCCTGCAGTTGGCAATTCGGGTCTTAGCCTTCCATCCTTCCCAGGTTCAGTAAAGAATGAGGACCCAGATTGTTAGGGGCAATATGCTGACTCTGTAAACGTTTAGAAAAGGCTGCAAAGTACTGTGAAGCAGTATATAAGTCTAAATACTATTGCTATTTAGTATTCCTCTCCTCTCTAATTTAAGTTTTGTTAGACACAGGAACAGTTTCCCTTTAAAACAATCATTTCTAGTATCCATTTATCAGATCAACAAAGTGTATTTTGTGTGAGTTTATATTTACTGATGCCCAGCAAATGAACCATATATATTTAAGGAGATATTGGATCCAAAAAGCAAATCAGAGAAGTTCCAAAAGAATAACATAGGAAGGACTTTAATGTTTAGCAAAAGTCCCTTTTTGGACAAACTGGCTTTAATACTATTGTTTTTGGAATAGAATGAGGGATCTAATGTTCAAGAAATACATGGACAAAGAATTATTGGCAAGCAGATCACTAGTAGTCCTTTTCTGGATCCTAGTCAACAATTCTGATCCTACAATTCCTGACTAAACTACTTATACCTATTATAGATATCTTGAATTTAGACTCTAATCTTCTGCAGGACAGTTGTCAAATAGACTTCAAATAACTGATTATTTTATCATCTATTAAATCCCAAACTAACATCAAAAGACTAAATAATAACAGGAACAAAAATGGGAAAAAAAGAATAAAACCTCTTGAAAATAGCAAAACCAAAATGCATTTTAGTAGAAAATACTCTTAAAATATCCAGATTTAATATAAAAAGCTTGTTTGTTATCCATTTGGTATACTATTAACAGTGCAATTATAAGAATGTTTACTTGAATGCTTAAAATTCCACTATATTCTGTAAGGTTTACTCTTGTGTAAATAGGATAGAATGCAACATTAATGTTAGCAAAATTTAGAAGCTGATTTATGGAATAATATATTCTTAGAGAAAAGTTGCATTTTTACCAAATACAAATTCAGTTTCAGAAACCAAATAGGTTGGCAAATTTACAAATTTTGTACAATCAACATTTTTGGATCTTAGGATGTAACATGCCTAGTCCTCCTCTAAAAACAAATCAAACCTGGTGAGGATAATTCCATTACTTCTTTTGAGAAAACATCTACCAATGTGATTCTTGGACTACAAATGAGGCAGAGTGTCACATTAAGTTATCTACTTTTCAATAATCTTTAATTTCCTTTTAACATTCAACATTAATATTTCTTTTCACTTACTGCTTCTTTTCAACTTTCTTGACCCACCTACTATGTTTAGTCTTCATTCCCACAGTTTTTTGGGCATTTCCTATTATTTGTCTAGCAAATTATTCGTTATTTTGTTACTGTTAATTTCTACCTTTAATTAACAGTATAATGAAGTATTTTCTATACTATGTTTTATTTCAGATCCATCACTGACCACATAAGTTAGATTCCCAACTGATAAAAATGGAGATCATGAAGAAAACCCTGTTGCTTGTATGGAAATTAATAATTGACACCTGCCAAAATTTCAAGCAGCAGGAGATTCATGACCTCTAATGGAAAAAACAATCTCACTATTCAGTTGTTTGTAAAAGAGGTTTTGACTCTAAAACTACAAAAAAAGATAGTTTCTAAAACAGATAGACAGACGGATATAAATTTTAACAAAACATAACAAACAATACTGAAACCGTGACATAAAAAGACTATATTTAAATCAGGAAGAGTAAACACTGAGGAAATTAAAAGATCATAACTGGGATCCTGAAAACCAATAAAACATTTAGTAAGTTTTCAGAACCTTCCAGAAACATACCCAGCCAGCCTTTCGCTGCCCAATATATAAAACAAAGAAACTAATCCTATTCATTATCATTTTATTTTTTATTAATTGTTACTTACATGTATACTAGGCTTCAGCTTATAATTATAACATAGGATTTTTTTTAAAAAACCAGATCCTTCACAATATAATTATGGATGGATTAACATTACTAACTTTTCTTTCCACAAGTTAACTTATGTTGTATTGTATCACTGTAAACACTGCAAGTAGTCCAATATTGTTATGGGGCATTTTAAACCTATGTATATGGACTAACCTACTTTTGGGGAGTCTAACTGCCCCACACAACCAGTATGCGTTTTTAACTACTGTTGAATAAAATTCTTGCAAAAACTATGCAGTCCCATTGCTATGCCACATTGAAAATAACTGATTCTGAGGAGAATCAATCAGGATGGAAAACCTCAGTAAAAACTCTTGCTAACTAGCTGGTGAAAACAGGCATTTTAACAGGTTGGCCCTAAATCAACTTTTCAATAAGAAAAAACACTGTAAAATATAATTATCTTTGCCCATATTTCACAGGGGTAATGCATAAATATTATGTAGAATACAAAATGAGAGCATAAACATTTTACTTAACACAACTAAGTCTATAGCTTAAACACAATAAAATCATTTAAAAACATGATTCAATTTTTAAAAATTGAAAAGGTTTGTGTGCGTCCATAGTTATGACAATTGGAATTAAAACAGTACTGTACAACATAAACAAAATAGAAAGCTACTAAACAGAAGTAATATAACGTGTGAATGAATTTCGCTTTTGTTTATTTTTTATTAAAATAAAAAAAGTACTTGGTCATCTTTCAAAACAGCTTTTCTACACAGGGACAGCCTAATATACTGAATTATAATTTCAATTAATGGATTTAATGGATTCAAGTGTCCATAATACTTCAAATGAGATAGGGAAAAATTCAAATTAAATATTGGTAAAAATAAAACACTACTACAGCAGAATTACAAGAATTCAGTTTTGAGGCACAAGAAAAAAGAGTTCTATATACTAATGCCACAATTATAATACTAATTATAATACTAACACAAAATTATAATACTAATTTTAAATAATAACCTGTTCAGAACAAAAACTGAATCACAGTCCCAATTGCTCTAAAAATTTGCATAGAATTCCCATTTCCTTCAAAGTAGTTCTGATATTATCTCCAGGTATAAAATAAAGAACAACTCTAAAATACTTCCAAAGTCAAATACTTGTAAGCAAAGTGATAGCATTATATCAAGTAAATTTGCATACTGACGCAAAACAAAGAGTAGTATATAAGGATTAATCATGAATTCTTTTAGTTTTTCCTTTTCCATTTTTAAATATTGAAATAACAACAGCTGCTAACCTTGTCAGAAACAGAATTATATTATATAAACAAGTAAACTGCTAATCTTTCCAAACAGCATGGAAAATTCCATAAAATAAATGTCATTACAGTGTGAAATTCAACAGAGTGATAGCTATGATTTTACACATGTCAATAAAATAAATATTTCTACCATCTATTTATGAAGTATATCTGTCAAATGTTAACCTAACAAATGTGTTTAATCTGTAAGTATTTAATTCATGATAGCCTGCTTGGAGCAGGATAAACATTTTAGAATAAATGTCTCCATATTTGGCCAGAAGAGTGATGCCATTTTTACCGAGTCCCTCGAGAATACAATTTTGTTATGACAGTATCAACCCTTGAGAAATATAAGCCAAAAAAAGAAACTGGACATAGTGTCAGGCAAATATTTTTGATGGCTAATAGACTATTGACCTTAATCTCTCCAGAAGCAAACAGGGCCAAAAATAATGTAGGGAAAAACAGGGGTTGTGAAGCATATTTATTATGCAAACTGTTCCAGCAAAAATCATGGTTCAAACTGAATACAGCCCACCAACTATGTTTTTTGGATTGTCAGGTGCTTGCTTGACAGCTTTTTTGCTTTTGTGGGCATCAGACAAAGAAGGCTTAATCAGTCCTCTGAGTCATCACCATACATGGTTGGTGGACTGAACTCAGCTCGGTGAGTCACAAATCACAACCAATGTGTCAAACATGTACTGTCTCTCAAGATTGCTTTCCTAGGCAGGTTATTTTACACAACAGAACATCTTAGGAGTTTTAACCAGCAGGGCTAAAATTGTTCACAAATTCTGTGTAGTTATCCAATGTATACACACCTTGAAGGCACAGAAATATACTTACTGCAATATGCATTTAGAATACTGGTATACATGTTTTGTTTTTTATTAAGACTTTGTTTCACTATACAATGTGTTGCATTCTGTCACATTGAAATAATCTACACTTGCTGATTAAATCACTGTATGCTGTAATTCTAACTTCACTTTCCTACTTTCCCTAGCTCCACAAAGATTCTTAAAACTTCCCAAACTGAAGACATTAAGCACATTGTACTCTCCCTGAAAGTCTCTGCTTCTTAGAAATCCATTCTTTCTTAAATTTCTGCTTTCCTGTTGTCATGGAGAAGGTCCAGTACATAACTCGCTCTGCTCTGAGGAGAGCCTCAACTATTGAGGTGCATCCACAAACACGGCAAAGGCTTCAGGAGCTTTTTGTAAACTTCTGTCTTATCTTAATATGTCTGTTGCTAATATGCATCATTGTGATGCTTCTTTGAAGTCCAATATTTTTTATTGTTCTTCACTACCTTATGCAATGGGATATGCACCAGAAGGAGAAAAGAACCAAACAAGAAACATCCAGCACAAGGAAATCTATGCAAGAAAATCCAGCACTCAGTCTAAAAAATTTCTCACCACCTCCACTCTTACTCACTGTAACCATTAAAAGCACCTGTACTGAACAGTAATTTGAAAACTACTATCACATGGTGATGCATGAGCTAATTTGCCTGCTTTATTTTTAAAGGAAGACTTCTGTGGACGTTGATGATCAGTGTTATATGTAAAATGTCCAACTATAAAATTTTAAATAGCAACCTTGAAATTTTGGTTGCATATTATTCTTTGGTTCCAGATTATTTGTTTATTATTACTAATCAGCTGTAAGTGTTTACTTTTATGAATAAAGAATGGGCTGAATGCACTATTATTAAATGCACAATTAAATCATTATACATTCTAGAAGATATGTGTATCTTGAGTACTTGGATTGTTAACTGAAGAATTTATTAACTTCTTTCCCCGTACATATTCATAATATAAGCTTTGAAAAGACAATAAAGCATTGAATATTTATTGCCTTGTTCTACTGAAATGCAAGTATTTAGTCACCTACATATTGGTTTGCTTGTAAACTTCAACTAGGTGAAATGGTATATCATAGGGCAACAACTTTTAAATCAATGTACCTGAAATGGGATAACCTAAAAAATACAATCAAAATTTGGGAACTTCTACTCTTGTAGAACTGAAATTTTGCAAGATAATAATGATTATTTCCAATGCTCCTTGCAAGCCTTCTTCCTGACGATCAGGAAGCCAGGAGTTGCTTGGGCTCCCACTGCTTGTTTTTTATTATTATTATTAGTTAAGGAAATATTTCGAAAATGATCTCATGGATTGTCTAGTTTGATATATTTATAAATATTTAATATAGTCTCTCCTGTAACACTAGTGATATCTTCCAGGCGGCACTTTAAATTATACAATTGTTCTTCATTCATATAATTTAGCAAGAGGACTAGATGATGAATTCTTGCAAGTTTAATATTTTGATGATTTGTTCTACAAAGAATTTGTCACATCCACACACATACAAAATCTATACAATGGCTTCTTATTGGTTGCATTAGAAATTCAATCTGTTGTCAGATTGCATATAACAAATAGCATTTGTTTTTTAGCTAAAAAAGTGAATAATTAAATCTGATTTCAAAATTTTCCCCAAAGTCAACATTAAGTGGACTAGGGATGAAAATATTTTGGTTGTGTTGAAATCTCTTTTATAGACTAATCTTATCACTTGTATGAAGTTTATAGGCTGTTGCTTTAACTATATATGTATGTGTACATGATATCATTATACCTAAAGTGGTAAGAAACAAATGTTGAATTATTTATTACAATATTAGAATAATTCCACTCATTGAGAATGTACTCTTCATAACATAATTATGTTACATATGAATTTATTTTCCCTACTGAGAAACAACCAGCTCTAAACTTTCCTAAAATAAAATGAAAGCTGTTTAACAAGGTATTAGATTTTATTTTAATTTTCACTGCTTAATATATTAGTTCAATCATTTTTGTGCAACACTAAGGAGTATCCGACCATAAATAAAGCATGCCAATATTAAATCCAAAGAACATTGTTTTCAGATCATTATTGCGTATTTCAGGACCTTCTCTCACCTCTCCACTGGATTCTGCAATGTTGAACAAAGCTCCGTTTAACATAAAATAACAAATAACTACATAAAGAACAGTATCAACTGTTAGATATCAATACAGGTTTCAAGTGGTTTCCAGAAGTTGGGAAGTATCAACATAGGAAATCTGCTGGAGGCAGCATTTCCAAGGGAGGTAAGGAAATGTGAGATGGATCAACAGTGTTGTGGCATTGCTCGCATGCCCCCAAACGGCAGAGTTTATGTACAATTTCACTCTAATCATTCTAATAAAAACTGCACATGCCCATATGTTTACCTGAATTCTAAGATAAAAACAGATCATTAATTGTAGAAAACAGATTATTAATGTAGAAAACAAATTCATTATATTCCCAATTTCCAACTGTTTCAGTTTTAAGACTTAATTTCAAACTTTTGCTCCCTTCTCCATTTACCCAGTTATATTTTGTTCTTTTGATCTAGAAATTTTTTTGAAAATGAGTAGCCAGATAATTAACTAGTAACCCCTCCTTACTTTTCAATGAATAATTTTTATTAAAAGAATTTTTTATGAAAATTTTAAAAAACTACAGAAGAAAAAACAGATGTTATAAAAGTTAAAAACTGAATAACAAAAGGATATCTAAAGAAATACCTAGATAGTACTAATACCAGTCCCTTAATAGCCTCCAGATCAGAGAAGACAGGTGTTTATAAACAACGTTAACATTTTGAACAAGAGTAGATAATTAACATTGCTGCTTATCATGAAGCAGCAAATCAATATTGAATACAATTTATTAAACTGTGACATATATTGCATGGGATAAGGTTTTATACTACTTGGTGTGAAAAACTAATGCCAATATATAACATGGTAAATTATTGCTTGTTAGATCACTGCCTATATTTTCTTTCAAGATGAGTTTGGGGAGGAGGCATTGGTATGTACTCACATTAGCTGTGGCTCACTATCTTTTTTTTCAGGTATTGGACAAAAAAAGCTCGTATGAGTCAAGAAATGCTCACACAAGAGTACTGCAACCCACACATATGTCAACTTTAACTCACTGTGACTGACGTGAACCTGCTTATAACAGCAATCAAGATTTCTAGTGCAAGCAAAATAAGTGCAAAGTTTGCCACAATGGATTTTGCTGCAAATAGAGGTCTCAACCTGTTACTCAATTTTCTACTTATTTTTTTGGTCCTGGTTCTTATATTCATTCTTGTAAAGCTCATGTGAGGGGCCTTTTTTAAAGTCTTCATTTATGCCATCATGGTAACTTGAACCTTCAAACTGTATGAATATAAAGAACAAAATGAACAAGACAAAAAATGCCTAGACTTAACATCCTGCAGATCAGGGAAGCTTTTGCTGAAATAAAAAAATATATTATTTTTACAATGGAACAGATCAGATCAACAGCACAATCTGAAACCTAAAGTAGAAAAAAGGAAAAACAAACATGGAATTCTCTACAGGAAGAAAATAATGGATGTGAACATGGAATCACCTGTGATGTTTATATTGGAGATAAGGGCAAATAGCCATTTAGAGGAAGTATAAAAACTACATGAAGACAAATACTTATTCAGAGTAAATTTCCACATATTTGATGATGATACCTATACATGGGAATAAAAATGAGCATAATGTAACTTTGTTATGAACAACCGTGCATAAGATTAATTGCTTATTATTGTTAATATTACAACAGGGCATATAAATTCTATTAATTATAAAGTGCTATAATACAGTATTATTGTAATAACATTTTTAGCAAACTATAGAATACTATTTCCACTAAAAGCATATTAACCTTCCCATAATTTATATAAGTTACTTCTAAGCCTGCTTGTCTCTATTGTGAGGTTTTATTTGGGGGCATCGGCTCTCAAATTCACTACTGTTAGAAAATTTCAGACTAAGTCCTATTCAATTACTCACTCCTATACCTTTCATGCCAGATTAGAGGATTCTAAAAGACAATTAGAATATATGACTTTAAGGTTTTTTAACGTATTGATTTTGTTGGGATGAGATTACAAATTGTAACTTCAAGCAGACTTCAGAAACTAAGATTGCACTATTTCTTTGTAAGCAAAATATTTCCATTTGCCACTTTTTCTCTTCTTATCTTTATTTCACACAGAAATGAAACACCCGGTGAAATTATACTCTAGATGTGATTGCAATTTTCGATGTCCTCTGCCAGCTTTCCACAATCAAAATCAATGGGAAACCCACAGGAACTTGGAAGTCACAGTTACCTGGGGTCCTCGCTTAACAACCCATGCAGTCCTCACTTAATGGCAGCATCTGAGACTGCTGGAACTGTCATCACTAAGTGACATGGTCATGTGACTTCACACTTTACAACCACATTGCTTAGGGATGTCAATTCTGATCCCAATTGTTGTCATAACCCAAGGATTATCTATATCAGTGCAGGTATGTGCTTGTGTGCCCATCTTAGGACAAGTCACTTTCAAAAACTTGAGAATTCTGGCAATATAATAAGTGTTGCAAGACAAACTAAGTTTGATAACGTATCTTCAAAAAACAGCTACAAAATTTTTAAAACTTTTCAAAAATAAAATAATTATAATAAAAATTCCTAGTAATCTAGAAATATGGCAGAATATCTGAGTATAAACTTCTGTGAACATCTTTATACACATTTGAGTAATTTATTTATACTTTAGTTATTTTAAAATTTCAGATTTATTTTAGCAGATTATACCTCTCCTTTCTCAACATTACATAGGCCACTAGCCTTGGATTCTGGAGTCTGGAATGCTGCCATTGAAAACACAAATATCTTGTTCTATTGGGGGAAGGGGCACTTATTTAAATATGACCTGGAATACAGTAAAATTTGACATTTTGAGGAATTTCAAGAACAACCAGCTCAGGTCTTCCCAAAGTGCTGCATCTTATTGAGATTTATAGAAAGGCTAATTAGTAAAAAAATCTACACACATACGGATAATCTTCAACTTAAAACCATTTGTTTAGTGACTATTTGAAGTTACAGTGGCACTGAAAAAAGTGACTTATGAAAAGGTCTTACACTTACAACCATTGCAAGGTCATATGATCAAAATCTGGGTGCTTGGCAACTAACATGCATTTATGACAGTTGAATTGTCCTAGGATCATGTGATTACCATTTGCAATGTTCCCAGCCAGCTTCTGACAAGCAAAGTCAAAAGGGGAAGCCAGATTTGCATAATGACCACATGATTCATTTAACAACTGCAGTGAATTCACTTAACAACCACAGCAAAAAGGTCATAAAATGGGGTGTGACTCATTTAACAACTACCTTGCTTAGCAATGGAAATGTTGAGTTCAACTGTAGTCGTAAGTCAAAGTCTACCTGCATGAAAATGCCAGCACAAATACTTCAACGAATGCAGTGGGTTACTGATACATTATCATGTCATTTATTTTAATGTATCAGCAGTGTCACTTCTGCTGAATAAGAAGATGATAACGTGTTCCATCTCTACAAAAAAATGTGTGACAATATTAATTTCCTCACTAACTCAGCAGCAGCAATATGATAAAGATGAAAAAAGTCCAAAGGGGAGGAAAACTCAAATTATATGACTTGATTACATTATGACTTCCTCTACTTCTCAGTATGAAATTATTTTCACAACACACTATAAAACATGGGCATCTAAACGAATCTTCACCATTATAGGATTTGTAAAGTTATTAAAGAAAAAAATCTTATTAAAGCATTCTAAATGACAGAAAACCAAACTTTTCCTCTTTTATTCTTTTAAATATATATTATTAACAGCTAGCAAAGGATCCAGATCATAGTAGAATTATGACACCAAGGTAAAATACATGTGTGTATCTGTAATTATTGTTACGATTATTATTTTCATGTCATTTATTATTGTTCTGTGTCACACTGGGAATATAAAATGAAACTTACACATAATTTATTGTTCCTAATTATGACATACCTGACAAATCTGTGATGTTGTCAACTATTATAGTTATAAGGCTAAGGTGCAACAAAAGACTTTATTTTTAATCTTACTTCTACTCTAAAATCACTAAAATACTTTACCTAAAACACTACTTCTTCCCTAGAGTCTTAGCCCTCTACCATATGGAGAAAGAAAATAGCCTACCTCAGGGGTGTCAAATTCAAGGCCTAGGGGCCAGATCTGGCCCGCGGGCTGCCCTGGAAACAACGGACAGGCTCACAGTGTCTCTGTCAGCAAAAACGGAGCTCAGGAGGGCTGCGTATGGCCTTCCTGACCTCCATTTTTGCTGGCAGAGGGTTGCAGGGGGCTGTCACTGCCAAAAACGGAGCTCGTGACGGCCACAGCGGCACTGCCAAGCTCCGTTTTCACTGGCAGAGGGTAGCAGGCCGCTGCAGCTGAAAATGGAGTTTGGGAGCCCGTTTTCCCTGGCAGAGTGCTTGAGCCATCACAGGCGCCCCCAAGTGACGTTGAGCCTGGCCATGCCCACCCCAACCCCCTCAAGGTCAAACAACCCTGAAACGGCTCTTGATGAAATCAAGTTTGACACCCTGGCCTACGTTATAGGGTCTACTAATTATTAAATACTGTGCTCTATGTCAAATGAATAAATCTAAGTTTATAAATGCTGGCTACCTAATATTTTTTAGATCATGTACATGCTACATAAATTTAAGTACTTCTTTCTTACTGGTAGGGAAGAAACACTGTCAAAGCTCCATACTGGTGTCTCTTCTTTCTCTCCTTTATAGCTTCTGCTACAATATAGAAAGAGCAGCTTCTAATTTCTCCTTGAAGGGACCACAGAAGTTCAATGCACAATTTATGCTAACCTGATGTTAATATTTATTGCCTCAGTAAATCCTATTATCACCCTGAAGAGTTTTGGCCAACTGGAATGAAGTGAGTCAAGGAATTAAGTTTAAGAAGCAGTCTATTACCTAGATATTTTGTTTATCAATTTATCTGAACTGCAAAGGAACACTGATTCTTTTTGAATTACCCAGAGTTCTGCATCAAATTATGTGTATGTCATCTTATCCACCAGCATCTTGATATATTAAGAGTAATATGGAACCACGAGGTGACTGAAGTGTACTTGCTGAATCAGTGATGTCTAGCCGCAAAATGTCGGTGTTTGCAATTCACAAGCTAAGCTAAATATATAGGTAAATGGGAGAAGATGGATGTGTTTCTCTGTAACCGGTCACCTGAAATATTCATACAATGCAAAAACAGTGAAACCCCTCAGCGCCTTTTTAGAATTGAGAAACATTTACACTGCAGCAATGAACAAAAAAAGAAACACTTATGTTTGTTTAAATAAATAATATTGGTATGCTAGTTTGGTGTACTGGTTAAGGTACCAGGTTAGAAAGCAGGAAATAATTGAAATAAAATTCTTCATCATCATCATCACCATCACCACCATCATCATAGAGTTCTAGTCCTACTTGGGCAAAAAGCCAGCTGAACGTCCTTGGGCCAGTCATTTCCTCTAAGCTGTAAGAAGCAGGCAATGGCAAATCACTTCTGAATAACTTTGCCTATAAAACTACAAGGACTAGACCAGTTGCTAGAAATCAATGCTGACTTGAAGGTATCACGAGAAAAAAAAAAAAGCTTCAAATATGTTTCCTGATCTTGCACATGCCCCTCTGATATTTCTAGAAGCAGCCCATTGTTTTCCAAGTATCTGTGTAAGCCTGAAAAAAATATGCTGCTGTCCTAAGGAGGGCTTACAATATTTCGGCATTTTCCCTCTTTGTATGGCCATATGTGGATATCAGATAAGAAGTGGTCTGTAATGGCAATATCTGCTTTGCTATGTGGGTTCTAAAGTAAAAGCAGTCCAGTTGCTGAAGTTTCTGCAACTTTATTCCATTTCTTTTCAAATAAATCTTGTTAAAGGAAATGCTAGGGGAATGCTACTTTGGGTTGAAGTGGACTGCCAAGAGCTCAGTATGATTATATTTGTGTGACATCTGATACAAATATGTAAGCTGCAGCAAAATTTACGTGATAATAGTGTCATGCCTGTGTTATCTATCACTGCTTTTCTGTGGATGCCTGCCCAAGGTACATATTCATATTTAATCTGTCTTCCAATATTTGCATGTGGAGAAAGAAAGAAAAAACTGAGATGAGTTAGCATCATTTTATAACAACTGCTATCTCAACTGATTTCAATGAAAACCTTTAAAATAAAACAAAACAGCAGATATAAGCTTATTCATTGAACAAAACGATATCTGATATTATTTTTCTCATAAACCACTTGGTGGCAGCAAACACTGAAATTTGATTCTTACCTGCAGAGAGTGTTCATTTCCTGTTCTAAGTTCTTCAAGTTGCTGTAACTGCCACGGAGATAAGCTGTATGACTCCTCATCAGAAGGCCTGGATTCTGGAGGATTTGTACGAAATTGTTCTGTAAGCCACCTCTGAGTCCTTTCAGAAGACTGAATGGAAACCTGGGATGGGACTGCAGCCTGTGGTTCCAAAGTTATATATTCTTGATGAAAAGCTTCAGAGTTTAATGGAGCAGGCTTGCTTTCAGGTAAGGCACTATAGGTCATATCTAAGGCATGTCTCCTGTTTGTGACATCAGGAACCCCCCAATCTTCTTTGCTGCAACTTTCAAATTTGTATTTGCAGTTCAAAGTAGAATTCTTTTTCTTCCCATTTTCTCTGTCCTCAGACTTCAATAGTTCCATACTATTGTACAAGCAATTTGACCTTAATTGTGGTGAAACAGTCTTGTCTCTCCCATTTGTATCCAAGTTGCTCCTGCATTCTGCTGAATAAACATCCCCATCCTGGTTACAACTAAGAGGTGTGCTGAGTTTAGACAACGATGACCACTTCCTTACAGGCCTCAAATCTTTCATATCAAGAGAGCTGTCCAACATGCCCTGATGCCTGCTTTGAGCAGACCTCAAAAGGCTTGTGCTCCACTTTGCAGAACTGGACTTCAGAGGATCCCTATGTTTTGAAAGCGAAGTGTTGATATGAGATGGCATTACATGGGCAGTAGGAATTGAGATCAACGAGCGGCTGGGCTTAAACGAGGAAGTACCACTTGATGTGGAATGATCTGGGAAGAAAGATGTTCACCATGTGAGTTCTTGTGAAATAGCCAGTCTTAATGGGAATAACACAAAGAAATAGGTTTAAATTACTTAAAATATACATTTAATATACCCATGAACATCGACAGATGTAGCGGTAAGAGATGTTGCATTGTATCATGGCACAAATGACTCAAATGATCTATTAATGTTCTTTTGCGTCATACTACAAAATTATGCAGGTATTTTATTCAAGTCATTTGCATCATGGGATATAACTCTGACATCACTATGACTTTCAACTGTATGTTTTAAAAAATTCTGCCAAGATACATATGGACATTTGGCAACAACTGCTATGAATTCTACCTTATCACTAGAAAGCAACCTTGCTGAAATACACTGTTGTATATGAACTTTGAATGGTCTCCTCCTGCAGAGAGTTATACAGTATTAATCAAATGTTTACCAAGAAAGCTTATTTTTCTTCTAACAAGCCAGTCTCAGACTAGGATTTTGTAATTAACTTGACTTGCTAAGGAAATAACCGTGTAGAGAGGGGGGAAGGGAGGGAGGGGAAGAGGGAGAGAGAATGGTAAGTTTTTAACAATAATACCTGGGTGCAGTTCTCTAATTCTCTTTGCAAAAAGAGCTGAACTGAAGCAAATAGATTCTGTCTATTGTTCATTTTGTATGAACATGGGCTATGAAAACTGCTAATGTTTGTATTTTATTGAATTCATCCTTTTACTTCTTCTTATTCAATTTCTGGAGAATGGTTTCGGGTTTTTTTTTATTTAAAAGTATAAGCCTTACTGCATACAATCTACACAATTGTAAGGTATATTCATACTTAATTCCTTTTAAGATAGATATCAATTTATTTTAGCAGGTCTTACAGTTGACATATAAATACAAGATTAAGGCCTAATAGAATTTGTAGCAGAGATGTGGAAAAGAAAAACAATTTTATACCCAAACTACAGAGATCAATAACATGCCAGGAAACAGAAATTATACCAATTGTTTTGTTGGTTGGTTGGTTGATGAAATTTAATAATGAGAAAGTAGAAAACTTTAAAAGAACACAGTTGCTTTTTAGTAATAACTTCAGTTTGAGATATCTTCTAAAAAATAATTTTAAGTAACGAAATAGAAAGTTGCACTTGGTAAGTAGAACTTAAACATTAGGTGACATGTAAATGCTATTTTTCCTCTGTTTTTGATATTCAAAAACTAAAGGCTAATATCATTGTAAGAAATGTTGAAATACACAGACAATATAGATACGCAATAAGTTGGGGCCAAAATGGTAAGGCTGTTTCCAATGTTTGGGATGTACCCTTTGTTGCAACTTTGTATGAACCTTCCCAACTCTCAGGAAGGGGCCTCTATGGGGAAGAGGAGGCTGCAGAAGAAAGGAGGGTGTGAAAAAAAACAGGCCAAATCAAAGGCTCTACCTGGAAAAACCCAGAATGTTGCAATGGCATGACAACTGTCTCAGTCCTCTCATTCTGGCTCCATTCTCAATCTGAAATATCAGAAGGCTTACAGAAAAACCCAATGTGCCAATGTTCCTAGACAAATAAGCAAGTTAAAATTAACATAGGTGAGGCGGCAGCTCTCCCATGCCAAGCAACTGCTGCTTTGCATCAAAGTCTGCAGAGATGCAAAAATAAACAGCTAATCCTGGCATTAGAACCTCCTACATTTACACAGCTCGACCTCCCCCCAGGCTGCTGCTCACGTTGCTGTTACACAGGAGGCTTGTTATGAGTCGTACCATTTATTCCTTTTGTCACATTTCTAGTTTTCTGAAATGGAGAAACAACTGAAACTTTCTTGCATTCTACTGCAATTTCTCTAGAATAGTATTCAATTCTCTGGGTAAAGAATCAGCCACATAAATCATTGGAAAGCACAGAGACATGATAGGTAGGAATACCCAAAGATCAGGCTTGAATTTCATTACATATGATACCTCTCATATTGCATTTCATGGATACATCTGTTAACCAGTGTAGCCAAATACATTGTTAATTATAAAATACTAGCTCGATACCTGTGCTTCGCCATGAAACTATGTGGTCTGGCTTTGTTTTTGGGGAAGAAAATAAGGGGGAGGGAATTCTGCCTCTGCCTACCAGTATCGATCAGTATTATTCTGGCTAGCATCCTGTCAAGTGTGTTTGGAAAGTGAAAGAGCATTTGCTCTGTGAGCAAGGAGACAGCTAGGAGCCTGGGCATGGCTTAGCTCAACTTCTGTACTAAAGCTGCTTGGTGCTGTGAAACTAAAACTGAAACTCCTCTGCTTGTGTTTTGCATTTGGAACAGATTTCTTTTCAGGTGGGGAGGGGGGAGAAGAACTCCTTAGCATCAGAGCATGTCATTAATAATATATGAAATACTAATGCTCTGATGGTCATTTCAAAAAATCCTTTCTTAGAGAGCCACCTAGAAGCCAAGGGGAACATACATACCAAATTTCAAGTTTGTAAACTTTACAGTACTGGAGATTTTGTGATGATGCGTGAATGGTATTTTGCTTTTATATAGATAGATTTGAACTAACTCAAGTACTGTCTATTTAAATTTTATACTAAGTACACTCAGAAATACTTCTGAAGCACTTGGCTATAAACAATAGGTTCCTAACATGGTGCTGTACTATGAGGTTGGCAACAATGTAGACATGTAATATTTCCTATAGGTTAAGATCCTCCCCCACACACCCCCATGGGCCTGAGAGTCCTGATTTGAATTGATGATGATGTTTCTTCTTAGGATATGAAGATGAAGTGCAACAGTTTTCTCTTAAATAGCATACAAAGAGTACAAAGAGTTTGAAAACCAATCGTTCCAAAAGACCGGCTCTTGGGCTCACCTTCTTTCAAGCCTGGTAGATATTGTAGGAAGTTAGCACCCACGCCTCTCCTAGAAAATTGAAATATCCTAGGAAATATTAAAAAGGCAGAATATTTCCCCTAAAAATAGTAGAAACTCAGAAGGAGAAACTCACCTCAGAAGTGGCTCACCCCCACCTTTGTTAATGGGCCAGAATACTTTACATAACAAAGATCTCCAGGTAAAACTATAGCAATTGCTCAAAAGCCCTTTCAGTGCATTATCATCCAGCAAGGTTCAGCCAAGCCTGGAACTCAGGACAGCCTACAGAGTTGCTCCCATGGGAGTCTGACAACCAATTAGAAACAAGCTTCAATTCAAATGCCAACAAAGGTTATAAAACCCAGGCACTCTCGGCATATCAGCCCTTTTTGACCTTCTCTTCTCACCTTGAAGCATGTGATCATCTTGTTCACTTTAGAGCTTCAACCCATGTGGTCCTGTCTAAAATTAAACCATTTTTCCAAACAGCCTCCATGTTTCCAGTGTCTTTTTCCCCACTTGGAACTGAACCCAGAAGGATATTTCTACCAACAATATTTAAGCCAAATAACACTACTGAAATTCAGAATAGGCCTTTACCATGGCAAGATGTAATGAGTCTCCAACAATTCTTTTTGAGGGGAACTTAACGAGTACTGGTAGCCCAACTTGATGGTTAAGAACTTCCATTGCTAAGTGATACGGCTATAAAGGGCAAAATTATGTGACTACCCACTTAGCAATGGCAATTCTGGCAATCCCTGGTTAAGGGTTGTTAAGCAAATCGTTGTGGGACATTAAGCAAGGACCTCATGTGACTGTCACTTCCTGCCAGCTTCTCCGTTTACTTTGTCACAAAGGAAAGTCACAAATGATGATCAGAGAGGCCTTGTGAAGGGTCAGCTACGAGCCTCAACTGGGTATGCTTCTTCAGCAATGGGTGGAAGAAGAAGGCAATGCGCAGCTGGGGCCAGCAGGGAACAGCAGAGGTAGGCAGCAGCAGAGTGTTGGATGGCAAAAAGGGAAGAGATGGGAGTGGGGGTGGGGGAATAGATGGATAGAATTTGAAATGTACTTGGCATTTATAAATGTAGGCAGGTTCCAAGCACCCAGATGTTCATCACATGACTGGGGGAGGGGGGGGGCACTGCAATGCCTGTAACTTTGGGGATGTGCCATAAGTACCACTCGATCGGTGTCATCGTAACTTTGAATGGTCGCTGAAAAAATTATTGTTAAAGTGAGGATTATCTTTAATTTAAAATACCATTTACTGGAAAAAGAGCAATTGTTTTAACATTTTCTTGTTCATCCCTTCTGAGCATTTTAAATTTGAGTAATATATTAGAAACATATTTCCCATCTTAGTTGCATTACAGAAACAGAACTTTAAATGACTCATATATGAATATTTAATCAGCTATACATTCACTGGGGCTTATAGTCAGGTAACTCTGCAGTAGGATTAAGTGGAAATAAACCTGTGATGTCTCAACAGATGGTAGAATTTGGATGGGTTTTCCTGGACTTAGAAAGACATGGGCAGAAGATCATCAAGGAATACCAGATTTGTAGGCTACATATGGAAGACAACAAAAATATCATGGAACCTGACAATGGCAGACTATTTCTGAACTACCATGAAGAAAACTACATAGACTTGTGAAGCTACTAGGAATCAAGCTCAAGGTTTTTATCAATGCTTAATAGCAACCAGATCCAGTTTCCAGTGGTATTGTTAGAGGAACAGTCACGGTAGGTTCGCTCTGAATACAAACTAACTGCCCCGCCCTTGTCCTTCAACTGTTTCTTCTTTAATTGTGACTCAATGAAAAGGCAGCTTGCACTATGATAGGTTCTGCACGGTATTCAGCTCTTCCAAAGTCCCATGTTTTGAAGTCTTTATTGATTGCTGGTTCCACCAATTAAATAGAGTGAAAAGCAGGAGTCAATCTAATTAAACAGAGATGATAGTTTTCTACTATATAACCAGGAGTCATGATAACTGCTGGAACAGATATAATTTTACCAAATCATTTGCACTGTTCGGGTGTTCAGTTTCAATTTTTTAAAAAATCCACAATTAAATGAATGTGTATAATGGATGTTTTCATCGTCAACAACACTGAGGAAAAGGTGC